GCACCCTCCCCGGGCCTGGCTCCAGGGCGGGGCCCCGGTAACCCTATCCCGGGCAGGGTAAACTGTTCCCTCCATGTTTTTCTCATAAGGGTCTTCTGAATTGCTCTTTGTCTGGTCCCTCACCCAGGACCAATTTGCCATGGGAGACCCTACCAGGGGGCAAAAGCCCCCAGACAACATAGCCCCTGGGATCCCTGGGACACGCAAACCCCTCCACCACGATAAGGTAGCATTTTACTGAAGTAACTGGACACAGTTTAAAAAGGGATACACTTGTGTATTTCAAGATCCCACAGTTCACACTTTTTGTCAGGTTAAAAAAAGTCTGTAGATGTCTGTGATCACACTGTATTACGACATAAATCAGTACAAGGGTATGACACCTTTTCTAAAGATTTGAGTGCCCCAGAAGCACAATACAAGCCATAATTGTGAATTGGAAGAAGGGAACATATGCACTTTTCATAAATTTCCAGTTGAATAACTAGACAACATGGGTTTTGGTCAGTGAGTTAAAGAACATCCCACTGCTAAATTATACCAGCTTTTTTGTGATGGTACCATACCAAAACAAGGCTATAAACTATACAGCTTAATTTTATTGTTGAATCCATGCTGTTATTGTGTGTAGGATCCTGGCCACTGTGGGGGCTGACTTTGATCTGAGAACATTGAGGGCGGTGAGAGTGCTGCGACCACTCAAACTTGTCTCCGGGATCCCAAGTAAGTCCAATTCACATTTTAATACATGTGCTGTCTGTGCTAATGGTCATGATGTGGTTAGCATGTTACAGCATTATAATAGGTTAACAAACAAACAACTACTATACTGCAAAAATATTATGTCAGCTGTTGAAATAAATAAACATCTGTTCTGAAGATAAATTGCAAAATTTCACAGCTTTTTAATTTTAGTGGTGTATACCTTAAGCCAGTGTACTATACAGTGTATAGGAGTACTTTGCTACAGTGTATATGAGCATTTCTATACAGTATATTGAAGTACATCCATACAGTTTATAGGAGTGCACTTTTAGTGCCAAGAGCCGCACTCAAGAAAAACATCTGGCGTAAAAATAGGAGGGAGTCCACTTTCCCTCTTGGGGGAATACTCCCATAGGTTTTAAATCTGGGACTCTCCACCATTTGACCCTAGAACTTAAGAATCTTCCCGGATGAGAGGTGAAACATCTTCCTTAGATTAACAAGTAAATATTTTTCCGTAGCACTACAGTTCCTCTGCATCTTTTGGACAGAAGCAAAATGACAGGGAGACTTGGTTGTATAAGAAAAATTCAAAGGATATTGTAAATATCTAAGGAGCTTGGAAAGAAAAATGACTGGAGTTCTTTACGTTTCTCAAAGACTTTTCAATAGCAATCACGTGATCATCACAGTGGGTCAACAACCCTCTTAAGGGACAACTTCCACTAGGGCTTGAATACCTGCGACTCTTCATCATTTGGTCTTAGAACTGAAGAAGCTTCTCGGGTGAGAGGTGAAACGTCTTCAAGAAACTTAAAGAAGTCCAGTCGCTTTTCTTTCCATGCTCCTTAGATTATCATGACTGAATGACTGAGAACATACACAGAATTACTGCAAATATATTTTGATAGCATTATGGTATGCTGGTATGTTACATTACATATTCAACCAATCATGGCTAGGAAATCTTACTTCTCTTGCTTTGCCTCAGGTCTTCAGGTGGTTTTAAAGTCCATCATGAAAGCTATGGTACCACTGTTGCAGATTGGCCTGCTGCTTTTCTTTGCCATCCTCATGTTTGCCATCATCGGCCTTGACTTCTACATGGGGAAATTTCATCGCACCTGTTTCCGGATTAACACAAGTGAGCAAATATTATAGAACCTTAACCATTCCTATGTGTTTTTTAATGAAGATAAGGGGTTGAGTGACACATTTTGAATTCCCCCCATATAAACAAAAATATGATTGTAATAGAAATTATGCAGTGAAGCAAGCTCCAACAGGAGAACGAACAATTAATTGTAAAATATGTTCCCTGTGATGTGTGTGATATTCTTTTATATCATCAGTCAGACTTTCTCTTACATAAATTTAAAGAATAAAATCTAAATAATCACATTGTCCATCAGAATC